AAATAAAACTTGCATCATCTGTACCAATTTTGAAAAACACCTGTTCGTATTATTGTCATATGTTTTTGTTGCTCCGTTTCCAAAAAAATATTTATTCTTCTGTGTGGTATATACTCATCGATGATTAATTTTGTGCTCTATTACATTGATGCTGTTCATTTTTTCCCAAATTCGAATGTTTTGTCCTTTCCAGCTTGTCACTTTATGATGTCGTTAAGCAATGTTCGGCCAATTCTTCTCTACGAATTCAAATTGAACCATAGCGTTGTCGAAACAGCCTGAAAAATCAATGTGGCCTTCACTTTGTGATGCACTGTTTAGAACCTTTGGTTCCAAGCAGACATTTGGCAATGCTGGTGTAACTGAACGCACTGATTGACGTTGGTTAGAGAATTTTCGTTCTGAAGATTTCAGCTTCGAAGATGAGCCCCGAAGTGGTCAACTTACAGTAATCTAGGATGAGGATTTGAGAACCCTGGCGGAGACTGACCCATCACAAACGGTGCGTGCGATGGCGGAAGAACTGGGCGTCAGCTTTCATGTGATTTTTGATTGTTCAAAATGTATTGAGAAGATCAAAAAACTCGATTTGAACGATCAACAGAAATTGTCACGTTTCGAGATATGTTCTTCTTTGCTCTTGTGCAACCATGAAAAGTGGATTCTCTTCGAAAACAATAGACATTCAGGACTGTGATTGGACACGGATGTGTCACCCAGGCATTTCCCAACAGGAGAGGTTCGATCCTGCTCCACGACAACGCCCGTCCGGAAATTAAACGAGTTGAGCGTCGGAGCTCCGCTCACCCAACATACTCCACAGAGCACTTCGAAAACTTTCTCACCGGTAGAATCTTCGCCAATCAGGACCAGGCAAAACGGTCTTCGTCGATTTTATCAAATCCCGGACACCCAATTTTTATGCTGACTGAGTTAATTGACTTGTATAATATTCGCAAAAGTGCACTCATTCAAATGACATTCACTGAGATATTACAGTTTGAAGTATACTCATGAAAATGGATTGAACTTTTGGAACAGCCTGTAGTATCTGAAGTAATATTTACTCAGAATGATATTGTCACTACCTCAACTTCTCAACAGCATAATAATTTTGAGCGATTGAGATGTAGTGTGGTGTTTTTGAATCTTATTCATGTTGATTCAGAAAAAGTAGAATTTGTTGAACTTTCCAACCAAGGCCTTCCAAAGCTAAGGATCATTGTGCCTTCGAAAGTTTCACTTCGTGGCATCCGTGTTAGGAATCACACGTTAAAATGTAATACCTCGTTAGTCCTTAGCTCTCGCACAAGTTTCTCAACTTCTGAGAGTTGTCGTTTGTATGGGGGCGACAGCCGATTAACGGAAAAACAGATTTCAAACAGATGGTATCGGTGTTTCATATCCAACTTGTTGAAAAGCGTGTATTCTGCGGCCAACTTGATCAACTTGAGAAAATAAGGGAATGGAAATTTGAAAGCTGGAACGGTTCCTTAGATCAAATGTAATGTCTTGTTTTTTTCGTATACTATGCGCTGAATTTTCAAACCGATGCAAAACAAAAGGCGCAGTGAGCCGTTTAAGAACAAGACTTATTAACAATCAGATGAACGGAATAGATAAATGTAATATTGTCCACAAAAGTAATATTTTTAGCATTCACAGGTTAGTGTTTAACAATCTATGTTATTGGAAGAGGAACCCTTCTAGATTTCAGATGGGCAAACCGGTAATCACTTCTTCAAAATCTATGCTTTTTAGCACATCAGATTCTATCGACATCAGCGACAAACTGGTTAATCTCCCTTGGAGCATTGTACTTCATAATTCATTTATAACTCTTTTTAATTTGGAGAAAGAGCGTTCTCCGCTGCAGTTAGTTACCATCATGCTCAAAAAGATTCTCAATGCGATTTCTACATTTGGAAATGTGTCTTCAATTTTGTTTTCTTCCAAAAGTTGATATATTTTTAATCCTCATTTTCAGGATATACAATCCTCATTTTCACTGTCAACAATTTTCAAGTATTCTGTTAAACGCAAACATTGCCAACCCTTTCCCATTAACATCTTCATACTTCTTCATAATTCAGCAAATTATTTGCAACTTTGTCTCAACTCTTCAGAATTCAGAGTTTTCAAGCGAAAAATTAATCAAAACCTTTACTGATATTCTTATACGAACTTAATCGCTGTTTTAAATGAACGCTGATGATATCAATTATTTGAAGAAAGGTTTCTATTTTAAATTTCTCTCTTCCATTCCGTTGGACTGACGGCATAGAGCCATCGAAAACACTCTGGCGAGAACTTCTGCGTTTTGTTCTTTCAGATAGGTCCTTGTAGTTTCTTTCTTTGGCAGACGATTCGAAATAATCAAATTTATCCCTGAGGTTAATAATCAGCAAGTGAAGTAAACATATTAGTTGCAACGTCTAGTGTTATTGTTTCTTTTTGAAGATAATTACTTATTTTGTCTATTCTCTCCAATTTACAGTTCCAAATTTCCGTTAGTATAATATATCCGAGTTTTTCCATTTTTCTGAACAGGCTAAGGGCTTCGTCTCTAGTTTCTCGTGCCTGTTCTGTATATTTTGCGTTGGATATCAAAGCTTGTATAACTTGTTCATTACCTTCATGCAAAGAGCTTACTGCATCTGCTCGGGCTGACCTTCTGGTTTGTGAAAGACTTTCAACAACTTTTTTTGAACCTAAATATTATGTCAATATATTTCTTCGACGAGTAGAGCCCGAAAAAAATATGTACATTTTCTGAATCATTTCAAAAACTTTGTTGCTTCCGATACACACCCAGCAGCATGTACGCCTACCAATTCAAACTTCGCTTCGTTCGCTCAATTCAAATGGAGCGAGTCACACTCTGAGTGCACTACTGATGAATTTTCTTTAAAATGTGTATGTGCTTATATATTTGAATTTATCTAAGCATGCTGAAGTCGAAAAGCCTAAGTAAAGTAGAATAAGCTTCGCGCATGTAAAAGCTAGTAAGTTGGTATTGTAGTCAGTAATTTAGGTTCGATTTCTTCGAATTATATAAGTTTTTTGGTATCTAATAAATATTGGTTATCCTTTGGTGATCTATCAGGATCTAGGGATTTTATATTTGATCTGAGAGGGGCCCTTATAGATCGCGGGGCCATGGGCACTTGTCCAAAATGCCCACTGGGAAAGGGGGTCTGTATGTCGTTATGTGTTCATTCTTACATTTTGACTGCTGACTCGAACTCCAAAAAGCTATCTAATTTGAAGGAACCCTCGGGTCCATTTTTGGGTCATTGGATTCTGCATTTTCGTCACGACATGATTTATTATTGACAGTTTGCGAATGACAAGTAACAACATTATCGTACGAATTGACTGTTTTCTAATGCTACGCCGTCATCGCCAACTGACAGAATTCAGAAACCGTATAGTGAGTATTATATCGATAGAAAAATGTCAAATTGCAAATATTTCAAAAATTACTAATTTTCGGAATAGGTATTCTTGTAACAAATTACTCTTCTTTTCAATGGTTATTACGATTGAATCGTGAAAAATGGAGGGTTTCCTTTCGAAAAAAGTCACTTCAGACAGTTCATTAAATTCCATTTATATTTTTTTCTGACCCCCCTATATTGAAAATTATCGAAATTTCATATAAAATTTGGTTCTAGTCTACAAGGAACCCGACCAAAACATAATGATAGTAGTTTCCTTATAGGAAAAACTGATAATTATTCTAGTCTGCAAACATCTTTTTCGACATAAAAACTAAAAAAATCAAAAACGGTTAGACTGAGATTGAGGAGATCATACACAAAACGTATTTAGATTCTGATGTAGAATCCAAAAATGTTATAATATGTAGGGTGTTTCATTTGAAATGAAGAAATTGACAGCTACTCCCGNTTATACAAATATGAAAGTTATTGAGTGTCTTGATATAGAAACAGAAGTTAATATTGGACATAGCACTCATGAAAGTGGCAAACCATAGACACGTGTTTCGGGCTTTTGGCCCATCATCAGTATGGTGCAGCCAAGTGTAAGGATGGGCAACACTTGGTTACCAAGTGCATTTGTATTTCTATCTTTTGGTTCCACTCAAGAACCAACCTCTGAGTGAATACCGAAATTGATCAGCGCTCACCGATTGGATTAGTTATGAGGAACTCAGAAATTATACATGTAGTGTGATACGACGTGAAAAAAAGGCAATTATTTCAAATCCTACTACGAAATGAAAATTTTTAAATCAATTCAAAATACTTTAAGAACTCCTGATATCTTGACGAACAATAAATATACAGATATCCCTGAGAAACCAAAAGACGTGAATCTTATTATTCCATACCTCAACCTATCAGATGGAGTCACCAATTGTCCTTATCGAATCGTTTTGTTGATTTGAAAGAAGAAAGAAAACTCCTTTCACTTCACTACTTTCACGAAGCTCCCTAAGACGCATCGAAAGCAATGATTTGGGTTCATACCAGATATCCTTCAAAATGATCAATATCCATCGTGTCTATTTGATAAACCACTTAACTTTTTCCATAAACTCCATCATTACCAGTTGCCTGTCCATCAAGTCATCCTCAAACACAAATCTTCCATCTTCACCCGCTTCTTCTCGTACAATGCACCCAAACATTATAATCCATTACCCTGTGAGTTTAGCTCTCATACAATTGAAAACGTCAAAAAGAGACTAAATACTTATGCAACTAAACTTATGCAACTGTTTTCGACCCTGATAATACAAAAGGAATTTTCTACAGCGGTTGCAATAACTAATTTTCTGCATCACTGTTAACCCTATTTTTTGTAATTGTTATTTAATTATTGCTATTTCCAGGTTGAATTGAAAAACAGCATTGGCTGATACATCGCCTATTCACCATTATACTGAAAGTTTTTTTTTTCTGTCTTGTCTGTTATAATAGTACTTTTCACAGTGAGTATTATCATTATTATTATATTATTCGCAGAGAGGCGTCTTCTATCTCATCCTTTTTGGGAATTTTTGCTACCGCAGGAGTTTTGTATGCTTTATCATCTCAAAATAAGTGGTTGACATATACAACAATAACAGTGTTTGGGTGAGTAAGTCTTTTCACGCACATAAAATAATACATTTTTTGTACCAGAGAGATGACTATCTACAGTAAACAAGTTATAATTTTTTCAAACTGAATATATTGAATGTAATATTTTATGAGTTTTCGGTCTTGGTATTCTTGAGTAGGAGGTATTCAAAAAGTAAGTACATGGCTTATTCGTTAGCAGATGTCCTTGTAGGACGAAACTGCTGTAACGTTAGTTACAAATACAAGTGGTATAGAAAATTCTCATTTTTGATGATAATCTCCTACTACTATCATAAGCTAATATTTTCGAGGAATGGTTTGAAAACACATTGATCCCAAATTAGGATGCGAATAGTGTAATAGTTCTATCATTCGCGACAGCTCATCAAAGTACCGAATAAAAATTCAAGGAAAGATGAAATACAAAGTTTTTCAATGGATAACAATTTGTATTTTGAAGATAACTATACCAAAAACCAACTACTCGAAAAGTATGGACACACCACACCGGTCGGTATCCAAGCGGTTCGGCGTGGGTGTTTTGTTCACTCACTCGAATTGACTGCCGTGTTGGTCGGTAGTTCAAGCCCTAGTCTGAACGATCGATCTTCACTTGCTATGGTCCAACCCGTGTTAAGAATCGCACGTTAAAAGGTAAGACCTCGTTAATCCTTAGCTCGCACAAGTTTCGCCTTTGGGGGTTGTCATTCGTAGAGGTGCGACAGCTGGTTAACGGAAAAAAAGATTTTTTTTTAAACCATACTGAGACTTACCCCCTATTTTTGTGGTTTCAATCCCATCGAGCTGATTTGGGAAAGATTCTAACAAAACATCAGGCGTGTAAATAATTTTCCAAAATTTGATAAGACAGTAATAGAGCTAGTTTGAGAAGAAGTATCCAATATTATCAAAGAAGACTGGCAGAAAAGGACTAGTTTAGTTACTAGTTTAACCTTCCTCTTTGAAGATGATCACTTGGTGATCGAAACACGTGTCGAGGTGTTAAAAATAACGATTTTGTGTTGAAAAAAACTCCAGTAATATTCGTTGAAGATTATATCCATTCGTAAGAACGTTCTCAGAAAGATCATTTTACGTAAACGCAGTTCCTCAAATGAAAGGGTTCTCATGCAATAAAGTTTGAGGTGTACCGAGTGGAACCTCAAAACGATGTGCAACTACAGTATGTCGCGAATTTCTGATACGTACCGCTCTTGATGGAATCAAATGTGCCAAGTAACTCGAACACTTCCCCTGATAGTATTTACAACAGAGAGACAAATCTCCAACCATTCTTCGATGTTCCAGACTATCAAGGTTGCAAGTAAAGTTCGCGTCTCCAATCAGGCGTATGGCTCTTTTCTGGAAGGAATCCAGCAGTTCCAAGTCATGAACAGGGGCAGAGCTCCATACATGAGAACAATACTTCAAAAAAAGTCTGATCTGAGCTGTATAAAGCATCAAAAGTTGCTAAGGTGTGTACTGTTTTCTGGTTAGGGACAATGTTCCAAGCTTTTGGAAGGCAATCTTTTCAATTTCAGTAACTTGATTGTGTCAATACATATTGGTATCCTTTTCAACCCCCAACAAACTTTAGAAAGCGGAATTGTCTGTCTCGACATTATTATATCTGGTTCGGAGACATTTTTCTTTTCGGAAAAAACCGATGCCTGAGTTTTTGTGGCATTGAATTGAACCTGGTTTCTTTCACCCCAATTCGAAATCATTTCTAGATCCCATCATTTCTAGAACCTCCTGCTGCCTGTAAAGATGTGCATCCGCTGCCGTTGTCCTGGAATCCAAATAAAATAACAATATATTGCTTTGCTGTCCTCAGCAGAGCAATATTTTGTATTCTTGATTCTTTCTAATAAGTTTTTGATATATAATAAAAATGGGGTTGGAAACAATATGGATCCCTGGAAAATACCAGCGTTGATGGTTAAAGTATTCGCGACACATTCGAGAGAGCTGGAGAGCCATAAACGAAAATGATCCGACAAGCTATATCATCGAAGATTGGCCAGCAAACCTTTATGCCACACACGGTCAAAGGCCTTAGAAATATCGAACGCAACAGCTCTTTACTCTTCATGTTCTCGATTGCATTATTTCCGAAAGCCACATTGATGATCGCTCAAGTTTTTGAAGCCTTCCAGATATTTGAGTTCATGATGATTTACAGCTTTCTCCATAATTTTTAATATCACTGATAGAAAAGCGACTTGTTTATAGCTTTTCTTGATTTTTATGAGAATGGGCTGATCGCGAGCAACATTTCAACAAGAAGAAAACACCCCTGCCTTGTACGACAGGTTGAAAAGTCTGCAAAATACTAGTACGAGTTCATTTGCACACTTTTTAAATACGATAACGGGCACTTCATCATGACCGGACGCCTTGTTGATATCAAGCTCTTCCGAAATTCCCCTGTCTAGACATTGTCGAAAAGTAATTTCCGGCATTCTGGATCCTAGTTTGGAAATAGTGGGTGGCACCTTTCCCAGAAAATCAACTGTGGGTAGAACGCTGATTGTTCAGCTAGTAAGTTTGCTTTTCTTAAGTCTGTTGTTGCAATTGAACCTTTCGCTTGTGTTATGGTGGAATTGAAGAATTTGTAAAGTTTCCATCAACAGCTTCAGCTACCGACTAGAAAGATCTAGACCCGTTAGAATTGGCAAGAAGTTGATCCCTAGTTCTCTGATTGTGAAGTTCTCTGCTTCCATTTATCCTAAGTTTGCAGGTGTTGCGAGCATAAACAAATCTAGTTCGGTTTTTGGCACAGAGATTTTTGCGCCACTGGCTATAGGCGACGATTTGTTGATGGATCATTAGAGCTAGAACAAACATCTAGTCAGGAGAAATTTTGTAAATGGTCTTGAATATCCTCCCATTCAAACTTCGCGCGGCTCAGATTGTTCCCCTACATTCATCGGTAATTCACTCAACACTGAAATGTGGTCAGAAGATCCCAATAGATACCCTATGATAACTGTATTATTTTTTGGATTGATTGTTGGGTATATTTTCTGAAATTATTGTAAAGAATCCCATGAATGTCCACAGGTTTGTAGCTCTGCAGAACATCCTGTATTACTAATCATCATCCCAAAAATGGTGGCAGTCTCTTCCTAGGATATGATTTACTGAAGTAAATTTAAAATCTGAAGGATTTTTCAATAACATTACACATATAGTCAGTGGGCATACTTGAAGACTGGCTATAAATCAAATCATCTGAAGGAAATTTCTTTCAGGCCAGTCTCAACTCCCTACATTGTAGGTTGATGTCTATTAACCTACAGTATAGGACAGGAAATCAATCTACACTATGTTAAATTTTTTCCTTCTACGAGGAATTGGGCAAATTCTGGATATGCGGTTGGTTACCTCGTTCACAGGCAAATGGGGCGATGTCAAACCTATTGTTTGTTGTCCGTTTCAGCCTAGTTCGAAAAATGATACTCTGAAGGAATTCGAATTTCAATTATCGGAAATCATCGACTTTATGTTGATGATAGACACTACCTTGCACTAACGAGTGGCCAAACAGTCCGCAAACCAGTCAGCAAGTGTGTTCCAATAATTGAAAATCTATTGTAGCAGTTGTATCGCCAACAGCATATCAGAAATAACTTCAGTGAAGAATCCTGCACTGACACCTGTCGTAAATAATCCAACGCCCTCCATGGTATTAGCCAAGGGAGTAGTTGTTTTCTGATAGGTGTCAGTCCATTAACCTACAGTGTAGGGAGTTGAGACTAGTCTGAACGAGTTTTTCCTTTAGATGATTTAATATCATTACAGTAGGTATACTATTATGGAACATCCCAAGTAACATTATGGCGTTGAGTCCTCAGAATTTTCCCGCGGATAAAACTTTATACGGTGATATGTAATCCGTATCCTGTTCTTGAGGTATCCTGAAATTTCCATAAGGCGATATTATAACTTTGTGTGGTTATAAGTTACAGAAATTCACTTTGGTTAAAAGGCACCGCATATAATGGACGATATCCATCCGATACCTAGCGAACACCATCTATAGTATATCGACGACTTGACGTGAATAGATTTATTTCATTCATTTTTGTTTCAGTGTCTGTTGCTTTCTCTATAATTTCTCTCTGTTGCTATGGAGTGGTATGTTAGTTTCGGATCCATTTCATTCCACTATAAAAAAGTGGATACTTTGCCAAAGAACAGTATCCAAGGTATCTTTTCTTTGTGTTGTGTTCAACATTCAATAGCCATAGTTAATTACTCCACTCTCTGGAGAATATTGGTTTCCGTGGAATTGCATACGTCATAATGAAAAGCTACCTGACAGATGGGAAACAATGTATGAAAATAGGAGAAATTTACAGCGACCCGTTTGATATTAAATATGGAGAACCCCAAAGGACAGTTTTATGGCCAATATTTTTCATAATCTACTTAAACGATGCATTTGAACCACAAACCGAAGGGGAAATATTAACTTTTGCAGACGATACCGCTGTTATTTATACTGATTCATCGTGGGAAGGCCGGTTGGTTTGATACAAAATTACTAACAATCAACTTATTAGATTCCATTCGTATCGTATGAAAGTCATTTATCAGAATATAATAAGCTTACACTTCCCAAGTTGAAATTTTGTCTACCAAAAGTATTGAATATTTCAGTATTTTCAGATAGTCACTTCAAATTAGAAATGCATATCAATACTATCATAAAAAAACTGAGATACTCACTGTAATAAAATGAAAATGAGAAAAAAAGAAAAAAAATATGTGTTTTTCTAAGAAGCTACCTTGAATTGTTTGAATCAACTCTAGTTCGTAGAACTTCTTCATCGTTCCTTTCCTTTCTTCCTTCATGGTTTCTCTCATTCTCGGTTTTTCTTATCTGCAACAACATCTTTTTATTAAGCATAACTATGACTCATCGAATGATTATCAAACATATCACAATTATTGTGGAGTACTGCTGAATGATAAAAGCCGGTTTATGTTCAAATCTGATGTTTTTTAAGCCCCTTGTATAATTGTCGGTACATAAACATTGTTCGTTATGATCACATGAGTAAAGGACTGTTATGCATTGTTATTGACTAAAGACAGTTAATATATATCATTGATGTATGTTGAGTGATAACTTTCATTCTTCTCTTTCCTAATCCTTTATCTTTCTTTTCTCCTTTCTTTCAACCAAGATACAAAGCAATGCCTTCTGTGGCTAACTCTTCATCTATTTGTAATATAATAATAAGAATAATCTTTATTGAAATAGGAAACCTAATGATATCAACATTGGTTACTGTAGTTGTTTTTGGCAAATGAATATTATGATTATATTAGTTGAACTGTTCTCATCCTTCTACATCTCACACTGTATCTCATTACAGGATTTTAATGAGCGCTTATTTGCCAGCAGGAGTGGAATTTGCGACGGAAATAACATATCCTTCACCTGAGAGTACAGTGATGGGAATTATATGCGCCACATCGCAGATTATGACGGTTGCTCTCACCATTATATTCGGAGAGATTACAACAAAATTTGGAACATTTTGGGCTCTTACTGGGATGATTATAACTATGGCACTGGGTACTATTTTATCAATAATGACGCCGAATGCACTGAAGAGGCAGACATTTTTTGAAATGAATAATCGTGTGAAGTTCACGCAGATATCTCAGCAGGACAATGGAAATTATCCTTGAATATGAGTGTGTTATAGAAATGTACCAAACAATCACTATGAGTAATATATTGATGGACTCTTCATTTATGTAATGTTAATTTTACAAATAAAATGGTTGACAAAAAAATTTCATACTCGGGTATGTCGATGTTCATTTCGAAATGGCCAATTGGTAATGTGAATTTCATAACTCCCCAATTCCACCACCCATTCACTATAAGGGGTGGCAACCCAGTTATAAAATTCAAATGTGAATTAACTTCTTGTTGAAACTTGATCGATATGGTGTTCAAACTCAGAACAATGACACCAGTTCATCAGAATCCGTGTCACTATTCCTCGCGTTTGAAGGCCGTCCATTTTTGGAATTTCTTCCTGACGTTTCGCTGGTTCAAGTGGCTAGCTTCTTCAGAGCAGTTATCGGAGTCATCGAAAATTAATTAGAAAGTATAAACTTCAGAAGAAGATATCCACTCGCGCCACCGAAACGTCCAAAAATGACGACCTTGAAATCCGACCTCGGCCGCGAAAGCCATAACCATTTTGTTATCAGAATCAGTTGGAGAAAAAAATGAATTCAAGTGAAAATGTGAGAAGACAATGTGAATTTTTGAAATAAGCATACTGGACAATCATTGAATCAGATTTTATTGCCGCCCATTATTGGTGTTATATGAGTATAGTGAAGACATTTATCAAGAAATATTTTTCCAATATTGTATGACCTGAAAACTACAGTTCTGGCTCTATAAAATTTTTCACAAAAAAAAATTCTAATGAACTGAAGAATTCGGGAAACTATATTTTTCCACACGACTTGCAAAAAGGTTGACAGCTGCCTCCTTAGAAAAACATCTAATTATTTGTTTTTATCTAAAATAGGCGGACATCCGACCCTGAAATGATCTCAAACATGTTCGGGATCGCAAAACTACTTTTCAGTAGGACTTTTCTTTATTATGATATCAGACACGAGAGGTTTGGGTCAGTTCCATTGAACGAAATTCGAACTTTTTGTCTTTCAATTTGGAACGAGTTTTCATTTCTGTTTGTATTTGTGACAACTGGTGGAAGTTAGGTTAGGTTAGGTCTAAAGTGAGTGGGTCTATTCGACCCGCCACCGCAACCCGCAAGTGTTTATTGTGGCTCATATCTATTTACACTCGACCATATAAACCCAGCCTTGACCAAATAAACCCAGCTTCTTAACGAAGCCGATTAGTTTGTATGATGAATAGTCTTTCAGGTAAGATGATGAGAGTACGGTTCTGCCGAACTCTAAAAAAACTGATTCGGTCCCCAGCGGGGCAGGCACAAAGTAAATGCTCTACTGTTTCATCGTTAATGAGGTAGTCGGATAGTCAAGGTATAAGATTCCCACCTTGATACCCGCGACAACCAGCCCATATGAGGGTTTTCGCACGGCTCCACCTGAGATTCACCAGTGCAGGGCTTTTTCGCCTCTGGTTTTGGTGAATCATCCCTTGAGCGCAAACGTTTGCTAACCTGCTCATGTGGGGTTTGTTCCTCCACCTGAGACAGATTCTGCGTACGCCGCTCAAGAAATTGGTGCAAGGCGGTTTTATAAGGTACCCCGCTTCCGAGAAGACGACTCAGTTGTTTCCTGGCTGCACTACCAAACTCTTTTTTTAGGTTCAGTTATTGGATCAAGAGTTGAAGAGTTGAGAAGATCTCGCTCTTTATCTAAATTCACAGGGAGGTCAGTTGGAGTCGTAAGCTCGACTTCCATCCCCTTTCAAGACTCGCTTCTGATCTAAATTTACAGGAAGGTCACTTGGAGTCGTAAACTCGACATCCATCTCCTTCATAGACTCAGCGTCAGGAAGAATTTTTAAGTTTACTCTGTCCATAAAAGTCCCACGAGTAGCTAGGCAAAGAAGGTCAATCTCGACAGAGCCCCGCATTAACGTGACAAAGCGATGCTCCGACGAGAGGGCGCCCGGTATCTCGAAGGTTCCGTAGTACCAGCTGATAGGCTCAGTGTCATTCATTCTCTCGGCACGGATACACACACCTTAGGATCAAGCCATCGTTGGGATGCCATACAGTTAGGGAATAACAGAACCACAAGTGATTCTGTCATTCCCGTATCCAGCGGGGCTATGTGGAAGCAGGCATCCGATATACGGTTTGCTTAACCCCCACATCACAAACCAATGCACTCGCCAAAAACAGCATGCACAGTGGTTTAGGCAGTGAAAGATGAACAAGGATAGCCAAACCGCCCAACTGGTGGAGGACTAGTTCTTTGAGAGGCATTTACATTCGATACTTGTTCGTACATAATCGTGGGTCAAAAATTGTCATAAAACTATTTGTAAGTCGAAAGAAGCTGTCGAATTTTATATATGATCGAAGACCTTCATCAAAAGAGGTACTTTCAACCTAATTGATAATTGTGTAAAATGTTGCATTTTTGTGCATTCTAGGGTCCAAGTTTTGGGCTGGTTTGTTTCAAGAGAGCCAGTCTAAAATGCGAAATTTCGACTTTTATCTCGTAATTACGACTTTTATCTCGTGATTTCGACTTTTATCTCGAAATTTCGACGCTTTTTTCAAATCACTTCGACAGTGCTCCAATCTTTTCATAGTGGTATGTTTTTACGAAGAAGGATGACAGATACCGATGAGGTAAGTGATTTATTCCTTGAAAACTCATTATTGTAAATGAACCAATGATTTGTGGTAAAATTTAGGTATTTCTTCAGGAAAAGGCAATCTGGTTTCAAAGTCAGTTTTGACCAGTTACACAATCCTCAAATCGAATTCACGTTTCACTGTTTTACCTATCGAATAATAGGTTTGTTCTGCTCCTACGAAATTCAGGTTCTAGGACGTCAGGCTCATTCGCAGTAGTAGTATATTACAGCCGTTTCCAGGCTTCCCCCCACCATTATGACGTATCAATTGCTTTTTTTAGTAAAATCAAGGCGATGTGACCTGAAGTATCTGGTGCATGGATCATTCAGAATTTTTTTCGTATGAGATTTTGTGTGTGTGACATAAGGACGTAATTAATTACATTTGGTGGGGCTTCAGCTCCAGAGTTGCTGTGGAGGGCCTTCAGTGAAACGGAGGAGAATGGATAATGCAACACCTACTTATACATGCAATTGTTGTAATGTGACAATTCCTTTGACCCAAGTGAATTCTCACCGGAGAACCATGAGTTATAAAAATAATGCATGTATTCAATTGTCTGACGGTGTTCAAATTATGAAGAATGCATTCAATTGCCGCATTGCTACATACAGGGCGGGGAGTTCGAGTGTATCAACTGACTACATGTCATTTTTTAATGAGATTAGGCAGTAGGTCGTTGAACTGGAATCGTCCATCAGGATCCATAAAAGCATCAAGGTGAATATGGAAGTTTTTGGGAATTATATTCTTCAGACTCAAGATTCGAGGTACACTAAGTCATTTGATTACCCAAATAAAATAGTGCACCATTCTTCTGATTTTAATGATGTTTTTGATGGATTCCGCGATGTAATTGTGACTCAAACAACTGAATTCCAAAAACGTGACTCAGGTATTTATTTTTTATAAATTTCAACGAGATTGAATGGTAATATTTTTTTTTGTAATTCAGGTTGGACTTGTCAAAAAATAATGTTTCTCGAGGTCAACATTAATAAATACAGTCCACTGGGAGGACGTTCATATGTGAAGCTTCGAGGTTAAG